CGATCCCAATACGAAGTTCGCGAACATCAGGGATATCCATCGGGCTCAAATCGAAGCGGGTGAAAAGGAGGTTATCACGGCTGAATCCAGCGACTCTGAATGCCCTAGTGAGGCTGGCAGCTGTATTGTAGTGGGTGTGGTTGAGGATCAATAGTTAATAGTAATGAGGAGGTTGGGTTGTGATCCCATCGTTTTTGTGGTGCCAGAAACAGGGGGGTGCCAGGAAGTGGGTATGTTGACTTATGACTCCCTGCCCCGGCGCGCTGTTCAAACCCATCCTCCGAGACGAAGACACGACGAAACCGTTCTATGGCGTTCATCGTCCTGGTATGCTATTTGGCAACCCGGATGCTGCCGAGGAGACCGTAGACCGGATTATCGAAGCTGATGGAAGCGGAAATACCCTTGTTGTAATTGCTCACGATACCCATTTGAAGGACATCGTCAGGGAATTCCCGGAATATGCAAATGATTTCTTGACCCGGGGTTGGGCCGAACAGAGCAGGTGGTTGTTCTTGGAGGATTTCAAGGAGGCAGTTGATGGAGTTCATAACGAGAAGCTGTAGCATTGTCGCAAAGAACCATCTCTGGCTCTGCAGTTACGATAAAAAGCAACATTTTTGAAATCAAAACTCAATTGGCTCCTCAACATTCTATAAAGACGGACAATTCGGAAACGTGAAATACATGCGGGAAAGCTATACTCCTATGTTTAGTATGCTCCTCCCGAATGATGCCTGATTGAAGTTTACAGATTCTCATGAAAAACGTCTATGGGCTTCACATAGCCACCCGAAAATTACAGTCTGTTGTCCGATTTTCTATCCCAGATACCCTGACCCTGGCGGATGACAGTTGCCTTCAACTCTTGAAGGTGATTCTCATAGATACCACGAGGATTGGTTTGGTGCTTAATGCACAAGTGCGCCGCGGCAGCTGTTGCCAGAGCGTGGCATCCTCCATTGGCCATGAACTTGGCGTTGGATCCTCCAATGTGGGTAGTGCTGATATGTTTCCCCGCCATCATCAAATTCGAGATATTAGACGAATAGAGACACCGGAAAGGGATGTCATAAGGCTTTTTATCCCGCTCATCCCATTCCCAGGCCTGCAGACGGAAGTCGTACTTTTTGTCGCCTGGGTAATGTAGACAAAAGGCGCCTGCATTCTGAACCACAGCGTCGGGGAAGACTTTGTGATCGCGAATATCGGTCTCTGTAAGAATGTAGTCTCCCTTATACTTCTTGAACTCTCCCTGAGCAGCAACAAATGCTACCCAATCGAATTCCAGATTCGCGTAAGTCTCGGGCTCCATCTCTTTCACGTTGTGGAAAGTCCCGTAGATGGCGCGCAAGAGATGGTCCCGAATATGTTCACCATTAGTATATGGATCGAGCCATTGGCCGTACTCCCAGAAGTGGGTAAGAGGTCCCTTCATCTTCATATCCATGGTAGGATCGAGTACAAAATTCGGGGGCACAACAAGAGGTCCCGGGCCATTCTCAAGACCAGGCTTACTGAGCTGACCCCGAAGATCAGAGTAGTCTTTGGCAACCTCAGTGCAGCGCTTATACCCATTTAAATTAGTTAAATAAATAAGTTAAACAAACAGTCAAATATAAGAATTTTAGTAAATTAAATAATTAAATATTATAAAGCCCTATATTTAATATATTTAATTAAATATAAGGTCGCTTAAAAAAAAGAAAATCTAGGGCCGGGCTAATTAAAAATTAATATTCCTAACTATACCCTATAAAAATTTATAATTAAAAATATAAATACTTAGAGCGGGATTCGAACTTATGACTCTTTATTTATAATTATAAGTTCGGTATTATATTATTTAACTAAATAGATTATTAATAATTATTATAAAAAAAAAAGCCTAAGTATTATAGAGCCCTAAATTTAGTATCTTATTATATTTAAGAATTTAAAAAACCTTTAGTACCCCCTTTTTTTAATATTAATAAAACTAACGAAGTTACGTACTACTATTTCTAACCCTTTATAACTATTATAATTATTATTAAAATTAATTAAATTATATATTAATTAATTTGCTATATTATAATTAATTAATTAATAATAAGTTGTACGATTTTTAGTACGTAGTTACTATTTTAGATTACTTTATAATTATAAACCCTAATTAATACTAGTTTTATATTATTAACCGATTTTAATAATCGTAATAACCTCTTTACCTTTTTAAAAGTAATTTAGAAAAAGAGGACTTTTATTAATAATAATTTAATATTATAAAAAGGTATAAAGCTAAAGAAGTTATAGATCTATTTAAAGGGGGTCTTTATTTAAGAGATTTATAATAAAAATATTTAAAATAAAGTTTTTTAGTTTTATCGTTATTATAATAAAATAAGTATTATTATTTATTTTAAAATAGTAATTACGAGCTTAGTAATAACTTATTTAAAATTAAAATATTAAGTAATAGATCTAAACTTTAGTAAGTTATTATATTTATCAAAATCCTTTAAATACGACTTTATATTAAAAAAATAAAAACTTATTTTTAATATTATTATGAAGAGCTAAGTAATAAGAATTAAGGAATTAGTAATTAGGTATATTATTAATAATAATAGCCTATTTATAACTTTTTATAATTCTTACCTCCGGGCCCTCTTTTATTAATTAAATTATAGTATTATTAACGAACTCTTATTATTATATAAAAATATAAAAAAGGAGCTAAGTAAGATCTTTATTAAAAAGAAAGATATAATTAGGGTAAAGATCTAGAAGTTAATAATAAAAATCTATTTACTATTCGATTTATAAACCTCGCTAACGCGGAATATTATTATTACTATTTTTATTTACTTTTTAAACTATACTAAGTAATAAATATAATACTTTATTACTTTACGATAATAATATAGTACTTATAATAGGGCTAATATTACTTAGATTATAAAATTAGTAATAGATAACTAAGAATTAGGTAACTAAGTTAGAGTAGTTATTTATAATAATATTTTAAATAATAATACTTACTTAAGTTATTTATATTCTATATTATTTTATACTTATACTTAAAAAAATATTCTTAACTAGAGGATAAGGTATTACGGTTATATTCTTAACTTTATTAGTAAGGCCTTTTTATTTAGTAATAATAAAGAAGTATTTAAATAAGAATTAAATATATTAATTAATACTAAGTAATTTTAAAAAGATCTTAATCTTTAGTATATAAGGGGCCCTATTAATAAGCTTCGGAACGTTATTAAATTTATTTACTTATTATTTTAATAATATAAGGCTTTTTTTAAGGTTAGTAATAAGATTAATAGGAATAATATATTTACTCTTTTTAAAGAGTCGTTATAAGAGCTTATATTAATACTTAATAATAATATAAAATAGAATTTATTATATTTTATAATATAACGCTCTTTATAAAAAAAAAAGTAAATTTATACTTTTTTAGTAACTAGTTAAGCTTATAAAGATTTAAAGTAATAGATCCCTATTAAGGACGTTTTTAATAATAATAATTAGTAATTATTAGCTGAGCTAAAGGTAGTATTTAAACTACTTTATTTTTAAATAATAAAATACTAGGGCTAGGGTAAAGGAAATAGTTATAGTTATTTATAAAAAGTAATAATAAGTCTCGAGTACTTTATTAACTATTTTAAAGAGTAAAAGAAGTTATATAATAAACTTTTTAAAAAAGAGATAGATTTTATAATTTTTTAAATCGTAGCGTTATAATTATAATTAATATAAATAATACTACCTCGTTAATAATTAGCTCGTTATTAATTTATATCCTAACCTCTTTTTTAACCTCTAACTTTAAATAATATCCCTCGTTATATTTAATTTAAATATATACTTAAAGAGCGAGTAGAGCTATTTCTTAATAATAATTTTAATTTACGAGAATATTTCTAACTATTAATTATTAATACTTAGTAAATTCTTAATAAATATTATACTAAGTTAGGTAATTTTTTATTCTATATCGTAATAATTATTCTTTACCCTAAGTAAAGATTAAAATAGTTAAAAAAGAGGTAGGATATGCCTAAGTAAAGCTATTAACTATTTAATATAAAAAAGGGACTCTACGATTATTAATAAAAATAGTATATAAACGAGATAATAAGTCCTCCTCCTCCTCGTTATTTAGGTCCTCCTCTTTTATTATAATAGTTATAAGCTATTTTTAATACCCTTACAATTCTAAAGAGTATTATAAAAGACTTATAATACTAGTAATAGTTAATATTTTAAATAATAAACGTATTATAAAAAAAAACTCGAAGTAAGTCGTAACGCTATTATATTAGCTTAATTAATTAAAAACTTAATATAAAAAAAAAAAATAGAATAATAAGTAGAAGCTAGCGAGCTAGCCCTTTAGGTATAGCGGTTTAGCTCGTTACGTAATTATTAAGAGCTTAGCCTCGTAGCTTAAGGCTAAACTACGGGGCTTATAGGGCCCTAATACTTATTATTATAATATTACCCCCCCCTTTATATTAAAGAGTACTATTTATAATATTAAAAAATAAACCTCTAAATTACCTCTTAATTTAGTAAATTTATAATTATAATTATTATTATTATATTATTATTATCCCGCAGTAGTAATAAGTTATTAATTATAATAACTTTTATTTATAAATCTAAGTTTTATAATAGGCCCTTAGTAATTAAGTATTAGTAATAGAATATTTAGAGTATCGTTAGTACGTATTAAAAGCTTCTTATATTATACTAAGTTAAATCCGTATTATACCCTTTTTAATCCGCTTAGTACTATAGCTTTTTTTTATATAAGTATAACTTAATAACTTTAAAAACCTCGTACTTTAGCTCGCTATTATTATTAATAATTAATAATAATAAGTCTTAGTTTTACCTAAGTAATAAGTCGTTAATAGCTTTTTTTAACTTATTTAAATAAAAAACTAAGTATACCCGGCTATTTATTAATAATTCTATAATTTATATACCCCCCTAGTTAGTATTAATAATAAGTTATAATCCGGCCTATAGCTACTATAACTTATTTATATTAATAAACTTTTAATATAAAGTATTAATAAAAACCCGATTTCTTAGTTTTAAGTTATCTGGGCGCTAGTAATAGTTAGTATACTTTTTATATCGTACTTAAATAACTTTTATATTACCCTTAGTAATCTCTTAAGCTTCGTATATTTTTTAAACTATATACTACGTATTAATACGGTTTAGCTTCTTTTTTATAAAACTAAATTAATAAATTCGCTTAGACTAGTTAAAAAAAAGCCGTAGCTAATAACTAAATTCTATTTTATATAATAATAGCCCCGTAGTTTTACTAAGCTAGGTAGTATAAATAAAGTCGACTATAAGTAATATATTACTCTAATTATTTTAATATTAATTAATTAATAATCTTAACTACTATAAAATATACTAATTTAGTACCTCTATTTAACTATTTATTTATAAATAGTCTATTATTAATAATTATAGCTTAACCCCGTAAATTCTATAAAGTTTTTTTTAAAAATTAAAAATAAATTAAGGGCCTCGGTTTAATATAATAGTTTTTAATAAACTAAAAATAAATAGTACCCGCTTATAAAATATTTAGCTTATATTTTTTATTATAATAGTTTTATAATAAGGAATAAATATTATTATTTTACTTAAGTAGTTTACTATTACTTAAATATTATTAAATCCTTTTTAATTAATAAAAATAGTTATAAAATTTATAAAAATATATTATTATAAGTAGTTAAGTATTAAGAGTAGTCTTAGCTCCCCTAAGAGCTTATTATATAGCTTTTATAATTAATAATAAGTATAATAGTTCCGTATATATTAATAAGCATCTACTACTAAGCCCGGCTAATAATATTACTATTTAATTATTTTTATAACCTTATTATACCCTAAATAAGTAAAGAGCTTTTATTTATAAACTTTATAAATAATTATAATATAGAGGTTCTCCTTTTTAAATACTACGAGCTTCCTATTTATTATTAATAATTTATTATTTTAAATAAACTAGTACTTATACCCTTTAATAATTAGTATTTATATTAGTATAAAGAACGCTATAATAAGGTCTTTATTAAGCTTTAAAATCTTTTTTATTAATAAATACCCCTAGAGTTCGTCCTTTAGTATAAATAAGCTAATTACGAGCTATAGTTAATTAATAATAGCGCTTAATAATACTTATAACTCTGCTATAATATTAAAAAATAGTAATTTTAATAATAAAAGGACTTAGGTCCTATTAGCCTCTTTTAGTACTTATTAAATATAAATATTTTTTATTTTTTATAATAAGACGTTAGTTAATATGTTCTCTTTCCTCGGGTAATAATAAATTTAAAAATTAAAATCCGCTAGTATATTAACTTAGCGGGCTTATTATAAATTAAATAAGTACTTAGTTATAAAGAATAGTAATAATTAGTAATTTATAATAATATTAAACTTATATTTATAATTTATAAGCTTTGCGCACTATTCCTCGAAGTATAGTACTATTACTAATATTTTTTTATTATAAATAGTATAATTAAGCTTTATATTACTTATAGTTTTTAAATAGAAGGTTATTAAGTATTATAGCCCCTTATCCTCTTATTATTATAATAATACTCCGGTATATACTAAGTTAGAAATATTAGTTTTTAACTATATTAATAGCTCTAGTTTAAAATAATAAAGAATAAGCGCTAATATTAGTACTAGCTTTATAACTTTAAAAACTATTTTATAATTAGTATTAAAATTAAAAAGAACTCCCTTACTTATTAGTTTTATAAAGGGCCTAGCTAAGTAGCTATAATCTTTTATAAACCTCTTATAAAAGTTATAAAACCTAAAAAAAAACTAAATATTTTTAAATAATATAAGTAGTTTCTAATCTCTAATTATAAAAACCTTCTTTTTATTAAACTATATACTTTTTATAAAAACTACGAAGCCTAAGTATTTTATAAAAATAATACTAAACTCGTACTTTTTAATATTTATTTATAAGCTTACTTTTTATAAATAATTTAGTACTTTAATAACGTACTCTTAGTACTAAAAAGGGTTATTAAAAAAGATTAGGATATTATTTATATATATTATATAAAAGTTATCTAAGTATTTTATTAATATCTCGTTTATATATTATTAATATATAACTAGCTTATTATAGAGCTTAAAAAATATTACTTTATACTTATATATCCTATAATAAGTTTTAAATATCGTTAAGTCCTTAGAGGCTAGGTTAAAGTAAATATAATAAAAAGCCTATTTAATATTTAGTTTAATAAATACTTTTACTCTACCTAACTACGTAAAGGTCTTATTAATAAGTAATAATAAGTAGCGGTCTTTTTTTATAATTTTATTAAGCTTATAAAAATTAATATAAAAGTATAAACTACTATCGTACTTTTTTATAAATAATATTAATAATATAAAAAGAGTATTATTTAAATTAATAAATCCTTTTTATAAATATTTTAATAAATAGGCTTTTATAGCTTCTAGCTTTAGTACTAACTATTTATATAAAAAGTAATAAGTTAACTTTTTTTTATTATTATTTAGGAGCTCGATTTTATAATTATACGGCTTATAAAGTGCTAATATATTACTAGTTATTTTATTAAAAACGTTAGTCTAGGGCTATAAGTATTTTAATAGGTTCGTTATTATAAAGTTATAAATAACTTAGTTATCGTTATATAAGGGGTCTGCCTTTTTTTTTTATTTTTTATAATACGGTTTAGCTTATAGAGTAATATAAAGCCTATTTTAATATTATTTTACTATAAGTTCTTCTTAAATACGGAAGTATTAATAAAGGTAATATTTATTTATATTATTACTAAGTATAATTATTACTATTTAGCCCTTTTTATGGGGGTAATAATAGTATTATTAAGGGCGTATTTTATCTTTTTTATATTCTTAGCCTCGTTTAATTATTATATTTAACGGGCTATCGTTTTTAATAAGCGTAGTAATATCCTAATTAATATACCCTTTACCTACTATTACTAAAGCTTTTAGTTATAATAGATTATATCTATTTCGAATAGGTCCTATTACTAATTAGTATCGATTTAGTATTATATATTAATAATTTTTAGGGTATATAAGTCCTTAATATTCCTAACAATAGTAGAGGGTATTTTTTATAATAATAAGTCCTTAGGTTATATTAACTATTAGTAGCGAATATTAAAATTTATTTCGTAATATTCGAACTATTTCTATTTTAAAATTAAGTTATAATAGCCCGTATTAAGTTAAAAGAGGGGTATTTTTAAAAAAACTTATTAATTAATATATAAGTTAGCAGTTTATACTACGCTAGTATTATCTAATTACTCCTTATTAAACTTAGTAATAAAAATTAAGTATAATAATTTATAAAATAGGGCCGCGTAGAACTATTATAATAAAGGGGTTACGTAGTTATTTATAAATCCGTATTTATTAGCTCTTATATTAAGTAAAGCTTTTAAGTAAATTCTATATTTATTAAATATTAATATAAGCTTTATCTTAAGGGGCTAGCCCCTTATAAGATCTTATAAATTTACTAAATTAATTACTAATTTTCTATTTTTTTTATACATATCTCCTAGTTAAGAGTTTATTTTTATTAAAAAGTTTAGTTTTTTAAACCTAACTCTATTTTAATAAGGCCCGTAGTAATATTAATAATAATTATAGTAATTTTTAGCTTTTTAAAATAGTCTTTAAAAATATATTTAATATTATTATAAATAAAATAAGTATTACTATTTTTAAATTTTTAATATAGAGTTTTAAGGATCGTTTTATAAATAGAAATATAACCTCGGTCCTATTTAGTACTACTAGTATCTCTATTATTTTTATTATTTTTATTACTTCTTTTTAAAGTCTAGCGAGTTTAGTTAAAAACCTTAACTATACAGTCCTTTATAAAAAAAAATTATATTATATTAACTAGTTACGTAACGTACTTAGTATATTTTTAAAAAGTAGCTATATTATCTAAGTACTTTAATATAACCTAATTACGAAAATATATAAGTAGCTTATTATAAAAACGGCGCTTTTATTAAGACTTTAAAAGCTTATTAATACGCACGAGCTTAGTAAATATAAAGCGCTTTTAATAAACGTTTTTAAATATAATTATAAATACGTCTAGCTTATAACTAGTATTATTTATAATAATTAAATTAATATAAGCTATTTTAAGCTCGTAAAATAGCTACTTAGTTATAATAATCTTATTAAAAGTTAGTATTAAATATATAAACTCTATAATACTATTTTTAATTTTATTAATAATATACTCTAAGTAATACTTATTAATATTATAGTTAGTATTTTCTAAGCGCTTCGTAATATATCAAAACTAATAATTAAACTTAAAGTTAGTATTATTATTAATAAAAACGAGTACGTTAAGTATTTTTTAAGAGCCGTAGGGGATAGAATAGGACGAGGCTAGAGTAATCTCGTAACTACCCTATATTTTTAAATATATTAACTACTATTCTAAAGTATTAAAAGTAACGGTATTTTAAATAGAGCTAGCCTAAGAGCCGTTCTCTAATTACTCTAGTTTTTTAATTATAATTATATTATTAATATAAGCTTAGGTAAGGGTTTTTTTTATAATACGGAGCTTTATAATAATAGTACGCATAAGGTTAAAGTTTTTATAAGTTATTATATATAAGTACTTAGTATTATTACTTAGCTAGTTAATAATAAAAGCTAGGACCTGCTCTAATTAGTACTAAATAATACGTATTTTTAATTACTATTCGATCTATTTAAATAAAATCTTTTTATTATTTTTAAAATATAATTCTTAAATAAGGTTAACGTTAATATACTACTTAATATTCTTTTTAAAAAGGATATTATTATAAATATAAATAAATAAAATAAACTAGTTAGTTATATTATTAAAATATATTAAGCGATCGGCCTAGGTAATAAAAAGTAAAAAACGCTTTATTAACTAGTTAAATAGTATAACCTCGGGGTTAATTACTAAGAGCTTAGTACTTTTATTAAGGCTTATAACGCTCTATTAGGACTTATAAAAATAATAATTTTATTAAAAATTATTAATATAAAGGGAGACCTAGCTACCCTAGCTATATTTTTTAATTATTATATTTAATAAAGGGGGTATATATTTAGGGAGTATTAATTACGTTACTTATATATAATTAATTTAGTTAGCTATTACTTAGCTCTCTTATACGCTTTTTTAGTAAGAGTAGCTAGTTAGTATAATAAGTAATTAATTAATTAATTAAGATATTATTATTTTATTTTTAAAAAATAGTTAATTAAATAACGTTAAATAGTATTATAAAAAAAAACTCGAAATAAGTTATAACGCTATTTTATTAACCTAATTAACTAAAGACTTAATATAAAAAGGAAAAAAATAGAATAATAAATAAAAACTAGCGAGCTAGCCCTTTAGGCCTAGTAGTCTAGCTCGTTATATAACTATTAAGAGCTTAGTCTCGTAGCTTAAGGCTAAGCTACGGGGCCCATAGGGCCCTAATACCTACTACTATAATAGACGTAGTAATTAACTACGTGCCTAAGCTTAATTAATATTACTCATAAATTATCCCTTAGCTAGTCCTTAACCTAATTTAATAATAAATTAATTATTAATTAACTTATTTAACATTAAGTAAGCTTATATTTAATATCTTTACGATCCTTATAATAATAATAAATTACGAGAGGATATTTAGCTTTATAAAGTTAATTTTAACTTTATAATAATTATTAATAAGATCTTTTATACTAAAAAAGGTCTAATATCTTAAGAATTAGCTTCGTAGTAGTATTATAAAAGTAAGAGGTTAATTTTTTAATTAAAAGAGCTAATTGAGATAAAGTCTATAAGTTAGTACTATAAGGACTTTCGTAATAGCTTTATTTAATTCCTAATTAAGAAATCAGTTAAATCTATTAATTAATTATTAAATAATCAAATATAGCGCGAGAAATAAGCTAAATAATCAAATACGAACCTCATATTTGATTTGTTTATATGGGTATAAGCGCTGCCTTAGTGGCCCATGGAACAGACTGAAAGGGGGCAAGTTTGTCGCTCATCCGAGTTCGAAAAAAGACTGTGTGTCCGTGATGCATCTCATCAGCTACTGCAGGCGCAAGGCTTTCGCCATACATCGCCTTGGACTCCTGACCAAAAAGGGTCTCTGCGCCAGTGCAGATACCAAGGATGGCTTTGCCAGAGCAGTCAATGAAGACTGGAGCTGAAAGGCAAATCTCCTTTCCAGTGCGGGCATGTCGGGCCTTCACCGATGTTATCTGCGAACCGGTGAGGGCTGCATCGTAAACAGTGTATTCCATGAACGCTGTGGCGTTGGGTTCTGCATCAAGCAGCTGCTTCGCGACTAGGTCGCCGTCGAGGTCGCGTTGAGAGAGCTCTTGGACGATGGAGTTGGTCATACCGCGTGGAGTGAGCCCGATCTCTACGCTGGCATTGCCGCCGAGGTAAGGACGATCTTGAATAAGGGCAACACGATCCCCCATTCGCGCAGCTGCTAATGCGGCTGTACAGCCAGGTATGCCTCCTCCAACGACAACAACATCGAATGACCCTGCATTGTGAGGCTGATCAGGTATACCACGTAGTCGTCTCCGCCAGGCACGCGATCCTTCGTCTATTCCATTGGGCGGCGATGTGTCCTCCATGCTGAGAAAGATTGCGTCGCAACGGCCGCAAAATCCCGTCAGATCGTGCAGCACCAGTCGCACGTCATCCCCTAGGAGATCTACTGTGCCAGCGTACTGCCAGTGCCAATCTTTGCCATTAGCGCCGAATACTGTGTCGAGCGTGTTTCCGTTGATAGTCAGGGTAAATTGACCAGGATGATGAGCTGGAACCCAGTCCTTGGCTCGAACCCAAACATTGTAATGGCCCTTTTTCGCTGATATGGTAGTTGTTGCATCCGCGACTGGCTTGCCGTTACCGTGAGCGAGGAGATATGGCGATCCCATCTCCGAGTCGAACTGCGAGTCCAAGATCCAGCCACCAAAGTCACGGAACTCTTCCGCTTCCACCAGTACTCCTGAGGCAGGAAGTGACGCCATAATCCGTACGATCAATGATGAAGTAGAGGCCACAAAATAGGATAATTATTGCAATCCAAGAAACCAATGCTGTTACCTCGCATGTTATGAACATCCGGACAAACATGAATAAAGAAGTTTGAGGTGCCCCGAGGTAAATGCTTGATCCCCCGTCCTCGGACAACGATGTAGAAAAGTTGATAGTCTCGGCTCAACGGCCAATCGGATTCACCTGCAAGCTTTAAGAGGTTCGGTCCTATGCATCCGTAGATCAGGTACTTGTTACATGGACGGTAGTGAGTGAAGGGTACACACCATTCCGACATTTCCAGTAAAGCACACGTACGATGCATGGCCACAGCACATGTAAACGGAAACGGAATCGGACTTGGGTCGATCCGTCGGGCATATTGGCTAGATACAGGCGCCGGGCCTGACGTAATTTCGGCTCCCACATCAGTTCTCACACCGCACGCCGTGTCGTTCGGCAGATAAACGGCAATCTGGAAAGCTTTAGCTCTACCGACGCTGGGAGACACCTGAGTCTCACAATCTTCGGCTCGAACCTCATTCAATATGAATACCAGGACAGTGCGGGACCGTGCCGGCCATGCCATCGCCCCCCAGTCTTGGCACTGATAGAACGAGAGTTGAGCCGCGGATGTTGACTCCAGCTCGGTCTTCAGAATTAAACACGTGGGACTACCAACCGGAGGGATTCATCTCCCACGCCTCCGTCTTTTCGTACGACTCCGCCATAGAGCCGATGGCAGTTTACGATGGCAGTTTACGATGGCCTTCCGCCACGAGTTATGCAAGCCCGAGATGTTTTGGTCAAGGCCACTCAAGCGGACACCTTGCCAGCGCCATCATTGCGCAAGGCTTTGACGGACGCCTTCTTTGAATTTGCCTTTCCTTACTTTCCCGTCGTTGATGCGGATGACCTCTCGAGGGGAGAGTCGTCGATCCTTTTACAGCAAGCTGTGTGCCTCGTCGGCAGTCTTATGCGCCATGACCCCAGCAGTATGACTTTGAGTTACTCACTCTACGAGAAGATTGAAACTTTGATACATGTCGAGTTCGAAAAAGACAACGTGTTCCTCCTCAAGACACTATGTCTCTTGTCATGTTGGGCCCCGGCCTCACCATATCTTGTCACGCTTCATGGGCCGTGGCATTGGACTGGTATGGCTGTGCGGTTAGCAGTGCAGATGGGAATCCACACGCAATCATCTTACAGAGAGAAAGATAACTCCGGGTCTTTACGGCGTATATTTTGGCATCTGATAGTACGTTATTGCTACCTTCCTCTAAGCATCACGCGCCTGCGCTTCTCGGTTCCCACCCTGCACTTAGCTCTTGGTGTTGTCGTTCCATGCACTGACATTTCAAAGAACAGTGAGACACTCATGGTCGCCTGCTGGGGCCGGCCTCGTTCGCTGAAGCTTACAGACTGCGATGTTCAGCCACTTGCAGCTTCGGACTTTGAAACACAAGGGGTATTCACAACGGTCTCTTTACAATTCACCGGACTCATGAACGTGATTGGCAAGTTGTCGGAGTTGAACACCAGGAAAGGCGTACCAGTTGAATCCGAGGTCGAAACTGTCATTGCCTCGCTTTGCGAATGGAAGAGCGGCCTGCCGGACGTGTTACGGCTCTACGATGCAGACGGTACTCGGAGAACTTATCACCGTTATACTTCAGAGTTGCATATCCATTATTTGACGGCCATCATAATCGTGCAGATGCTTAGCAAGAGCCGTCATGCTCCGTGGCGGACGTCTCACGCCTCAATTATAGCGGCGACCCATGTTGCCGAGTTGTACGAGGAGATCCACTACAGAGAGGATGCTTCTCACTTGCTGAGCATCAATGGCTTCATGGCTCTAGTGGCCGCAACTGTGTTGGTATTCCACCGGCCAAACACGTTAGAGAAGGAAACGATTCGCAAGAATGGCATTGAAAGCATCTGTTCAGTGCTGCGCGTTATGAGCAAGAAGTATGGCGGCGCACGATCAGTGCTCCAGAGAATTCAGGGACTGCAAATCCAAGCTGAGCGGAGAGACGCATCTCTCAACAATCTCCAGAACGATACTTCATCGTCATCTGCGACATGGGTGGCAAGGAGCGTTAACGCGCATATCCATGAGTTACTCCCATTTCCGCTCAGTCTTGATGAAAACGTGAATATCTTGGACCGAGCAGAAGCTGTCACAGATCGCTTGCCGGATGATCGAGTGGTCACTGCAACTACCGCACCTGTTGAGGATGTGTCGAATGATATTTTTTCGTTAATGGATATTCTAGAGATGGATTTCGATCCATTCGATAACACTACTAGCTTCGTGTGATATGATCACATCTTTTTCCATTGATCACTCACTTGAAATATCGGGGGTACTCCGAAATAGGCTCTAAGCATGAGCAGAAGGTCTTTGCCACTCCCGTGAAGGAACTTTGTAAAGAATGCCTCCGACTTGGGTTCAGCTGTGAATTGTCGACAATGACCCCAAAAGCTTTGAAGATGCTCATTCTTGTGCCAACAAGAAGGATTTCTGATGTCCCGCCTCGGTTGTAAGGATAGCGCCGAGTGCCGAAGCTTAAATGCGCCTCTACCGAAGTACATGATTGCCGACTGAAGTGGGAGGCCATTGACACTGTAATCTAATCATCTGGAGACAGGCACAAACGCCGCGCTAGATTAACAGAACCATATGACAAATCGACAAGACTCCGTCGGAATGATATGCAGCCGTTGCAGTATGATGGTGTAGGTAGGTATGCAGCGGGTGGCTATTCTGCTAGACTTATTCAAGTAAGTGTAGATTCTTCTCTTGATACAGTCGATTTGACTACAACGTCCGTTGTTTATAAAAGAGATCATCGTTCCACAACAGAATACGATAGAATTATAGTTTGAATTCGAACACCAGTATCTCTATAAACTTGTAAACGAAAGATCTTATCTTCGCTCCTACTCCTACCACAACTTTAAATCATGTCGGACCTGATCGTAGTCATTGGCGCAGCTGGTGGTCAGGGCGGAGGCGTCGTTGACGCCTTCCTCAAAGAACCAGGCTGGAAAGTCAGAGGCACCACTCGTAACACCTCGAGTGAGAAAGCAAAGGCTCTCGCCGCAAAGGGCGTCGAAGTTGTCTCTGCGAATCTCAACGATGAAGAGAGCCTCGAGAGAGCCTTCCACGGGGCCACGGCAATCTTCGCATTCACTGACTACTACGACACGTTCTTCGAACTCGGCGATGAGAAGTCCGTGGAGTTGGAGTTTGAACAGGGAAGAAGAATTGCCCGTGCGGCGGCGAAGACGGAGTCTCTTCAACGACTTGTGTTCAGCGCCGGGCCTCACACGAGCAAGATCACCAACGGGGAAGCTGTGTGCCCCCACCTCGAGGGCAAGGGGCGCATCGTCACGTATGTGACGCAAGAGATGCCGGATCTTTCGGCCAAGACCACCTTCGCCGTCTTCACTGTCTTTGCGAATAACGCACTGCTCTATGATATCTTCAAACCGATTTACGTGGTAAGTAAAGCATCTGAGTGCCCCCATGATCAGAGACACTCTGACCAGGTTGAAGCCGAGCGCCAAGAAGTATGTCACCTTATACCCAGTGCCACCCAACACGCCATACCCGTGTGTTGGAGATCCTGTCACCAACGGAGGCATTTTTGTTCGAAGACTGGTGAAGAGCCCTCCTCCTCCAGGATCCTTTGTCCGATGCAACGTTGAAACCTTGACTATGGAGTCTTATCTCGCCGCCTGGGGACGGGCCACTGGGCTCGCGCCTGAGGAGGGCTCAACCGCCGCCGTGCAGGTTTCTCCCCAAAGCTATGTTGAACTGTGGGGCGCCATGGCTCAAGAGCAGCTTTCGCAATGGCAATTCTTCCAATGGATTCAGGATCACTATCCCCCGACGTGGGAAGGAGTCACCATCGTGGAGGGGATGGATCTATTGACTGAGGAGGACAAGAAGGAACTTCTTAGCGTTGAGGAGTCTCTGAAGCGGTACGACTGGAGTGCGTTTGAGAAGAAGCCGACGGCCAAGGCTGTCACCGGCCGGTTCTCGACTTGAGGAAGTCAGGGTAGGGTTCCCGCAAGATCCAGGAAGTTGATTTGCCTTATTCAGTACCATGAAGCCGTGGCTAGCTCTTATCTGAATAATGTCTCAAGCGCATTTGTCTGTAGTGTAAATGGGACATTGTTTTGTAAAGCAACTATAGGCTCACAATATGTTATGGAACACCTAAACTGGTATGGGCCACCGGAAGTGTGGACATTAAGGTCCATGTTCAGACACTTGGTGCGCTCAGCGTCATGCAGACCTTCACCCGGCAGATATCTGCCAGTGCCTCGTTTGTTTGTTTCTCAGTCGTGATTCTGCTCGCAAGGGTGGGACGAAAAGAGCTTCGGAAACTGCACAGTGATATTGGTGGTGCAAATTATCTAGGGGAACGAGTCGGTGCCTTTGAGTATTTGAAAATATTGCAAGCCCCATAGTCTGAGGCATAACTTTATCAGGGCACCATAACTATTGCCATCGGCCTGAGAGTCTTTGAAACACTTGCTGGTCAAACTTGCTGTCATTTTTGGAGCTATTATCAAGTGGTCTATATGTAACAAACACAAGTCCACCTCAGCAGAGAGGTCGCGGCAAAGTCAAATATTGATCCAGGACCATCATCTAGTATATAGGTCAATGATAGGAGGTGAAATATGGTCTTGCAACTCAGAGATTGCATCAAATTGCAAAAATGATTTCGCCCGGACTTGAACCGGAGACCTTCAGTGTGTTAGACTGACGTGATAACCAACTACACCACGAAACCTTGGAGACTAGAAACGCCTTTAATGAGAAGTGAGCCTGAGGGGCTCTAAGTGCTTTTTGGCTAGGGCTCTCCTCCTTTTTCTTTCGCGTCTCCCTCTTTAACATGATGTCTAAAGATTCAATTCGAGATTGCTTTGCGATTTGAAGTTGCAACACATTTTGCGCAATGTGAGAAGACGTTAATACTATTCAGGTTATCAGCAACGCGAGATCCCCGCTAGAGGGAGAAAAAACAAAAGTCTCTCGCCCCCGACATCCCCGCGCACCGCATGGCGCAAGATCCTGGAACCCAGCCAGGCGATGCGCCAGGCCAGTGATGGCGTGCAGTCACTCCACTGGTACGGCTTGGCTGTCGTTCGCTGGTTGAGAAATCATGCATTCTAGATTTCGTGGCGTCAAATTGTATCTCGTGCTATGATGCTTCGGAAGAAGAGTTATCTCATACCGTTTTCCATCAATCCCACCTTTACACCTGATCTTAACTAAAGAGCATGTCCAAAAAGCTTGATGCGCAAGCTAGCGCTAGCTTTGTATCGCAACCGAGGCAGCTTTCGAGTTCTCCGCCGGTTTTCCGATTGTCGGCCCGCAATGGAACGGGGCCGTTGTCCAGTTCAAGCTGGAGACCCCGGACAACCCAGAAGGCCGAAATCAGCGCACCTTGTCCTTCTCGGTTGCTGGGCCGGGCAACCTTTCTGGTCCAGCTTGGTCTGGTATGGTTCGGAAGGGTGAGCTGCTTTATGCAGCCTAGAGGATCACGCTACACTGGCGCTTGTCGGGCTTGTCAAAGAGAAAATGAGATAGGAATTGTTGGAGATTTTGCATGACGGTGGAATTATCGACCGAGGTGGGGTGTCAATGTCCCGAAGAGTAACACTGCGTTTGAAGCTGTATGAAGCTGCTGCATTCATTGCATGAGTCTTCAAGGCCATGTATACTCGAGGGACTATCATTGTATTTGCTCCTTGTCCAGTGCTGACCGAAGATCGAACTCAATTTAAGACTCCCAAACTCTAAGCTGAGCTCTTTTGATTTCTTTATTGGTGAGACATTCGAGGCAAAGCTCTTCCAGTATTCTTCAGTCAGGGATCGCCAAACGAGGGGCAATTGCGGGGTAGCAGCTTGAGGCAGCACACGCGCACCACTTCCAGCGCAGCAAAGTTGAGAGAGCACCCGCAAAAACACCAAAGCTCCATCGCGGGGATATTACGGCGCATCGTCAAACCACCGGCCTCGTCCCACCCAACCTCCCCATCCAAATAGAAACCCGCCCCCAAAACGTCACAAGCCATCACCATCACACTCTTCTTTCTTCTCTTCTTTTCTTCTACTCTTTCGCCAGTTCGGGTCGTCTTGTTCAACATCGTCTCTTCGGCAGCAAAGATACCCAATCCGCATTCGGTCTCGAGCGAAACACACGTTCGCCCGCTATGGCCGGTCCCGTTCCCACCGCGAGCGCCCTCGCCGACATCTACACAGACGATGCCCTCCCCATTCAGACCAAGCGCTGGTCGTCTCTGCTCTCACAGTTCGAGTCCGAGTACGGCCACCCGGCCTCTGTCGTCGCCCGCTCCCCCGGCCGCGTGAACATTATCGGCGAGCACATCGACTACTCCCTCTACTCCGTCCTCCCTATGGCAATCACCGCCGATGCCATCCTCGCCTTCTCCGTCACCGACACTCCCGCTGACTCCGACACCTTCACCCTCCGCGTCGCAAACGCCCAGTCCGACAAGTACCCCTCCCGCACCTTTGAAGTCCCCATCGGCGCCGATGTTCCTATCGACTCCAAGGTCCACGAGTGGTCCAACTACTTCAAGAGCGGCTTGAGTGGCGCCCTGGAGCTGCTGCGTCGGAAGCATGGCAAGGACTTCAGACCCAATGGTATGAAGATCCTCATGGACGGTAACGTCCCCGTTGGCGGTGGTCTCAGCTCTAGTGCTGCTTTCGTTAGTGCCTCGGCATTGGCTGTCATGCTTGCCAACGGCGAGAAGACTGTTGACAAGACCGAGCTCACTGAGCTTGCCATCGTCAGTGAGCGTGCCGTTGGTGTCAACTCTGGCGGGTGAGTCGTCCCTTTTAACCCCTTCATTAACACGTCTAGGATCTAACAACCAACCCATCCAGCATGGACCAGTCCGCCTCCGTCTTCTCCCAGCGCGGTTCTGCTCTCTTCGTGTCCTTCAGCCCCTCTCTGACCGCTCGCCCCGTCTTCTTCCCGACAACCAACCCGGAACTCTCCTTCCTCATCGCCCAGTCCTTTGTCACCTCCAACAAGCAGGTCACCGGCCCTATCCACTACAATCTCCGCGTCGTCGAGTGCAGCATGGCAGGCGCCTTCCTCAACGCAGCCCTCAATCCGGCCGGCACAAAGCTCCCCACCGACGCTTCTCCGCTCGGTATCTCTCTCCACGGCTTTCACGAAGCCTACTTCGCCAACAACAAGCTCCCGCACGCCGAGGGCGCATCAGCAGAGGAGGCCGCAGAGGCACAGCTCCGCGTGCTCATCGACGTCACCAAGAAGGCCCTTACCAGCACCGAGGGCTACACCCGCGAGGAGATTGCCAAGGTCCTGGGCGTCTCCGTCCCCGAGCTTGAGCAGATCTTCATGTCCAAGCTCTCCGTCCGCGCCGACCGCTTCAAGCTCCGCCAGCGCGCCCTGCACGTCTTTGAGGAGGCTCTCCGCGTACTCCAGTTCATGAAGGTTCTGGAGCAGGAGGCGCCGAAGGATACCTCTGACACCACGGCCTACAACAAGCGCCTCGGCGACCTGCTTAACGCCACACAAGACTCGTGCCGCGACTTGTACGAGTGCAGTGCCCCTGAGATTGACGAGCTTTGCCGCATTGCGCGCGAAAACGGATCCTATGGCAGCAGACTTACCGGTGCTGGCTGGGGTGGCTGCACAGTCCACATGGTGCCTGCTGACAAGGTTGCTGCTGTCAAGGAGGCGTGGGAGAGGGAATACTACTCCAAGCGCGAGCTTACTGAGGAGCAGAAGGAGGGTGCTGTTGTTGTGAGTCGGCCGGGAAGTGGAAGTGCGGCGTATCTCCTCAAGAGTGGAGGCTTATGAACGCCAAATTTGTTGAGACGAGACGGAGAACGACGGGGGTCTTTGGAGGCCAACTCAGTACATATGTCGTGACACACAAACACTTTTTCAAACCCTTGGCAACAAGCTATTTGGTCACTTCGACTTTGTCACCACATTTCATTTTCACTGTTCTGTCAGGTTGCAAACGGCTGCTGTAGCCCGGGATGTGTGATTGACACTGTTACGAACCGGTCTGATAGAGCTGTGCCGTTCCGTCTTGGCTTTATATGTACCTATTGAACATCAGAGGCGCTCTCGGTGACAATTTGGTCAAGCCACTGCTAGGAAAAAAACTGTCATTAGCTATGGTTTTCCTTCTTAGACGCAGTTGAGATGCCAAGACCTTGGGAGGCTTAAGCCGTCTGGCGTCACCGTATCTGCCCTATTCGCAAGCAATCCCCGGACCCCCAAGCCACCACCACTGAAAACTGTGCTATTCCCAAGCTAATTTTGCCCTGAGTGGGATGCGATTGGATGTGACAACTTTCAGGCGTCTCAGCCGGCATGTGTAGTGTAAGGCGTTGGCGCGCAACCGTGAGTGGAAAGTGATGGTCAATATACCTAGCTGACACCCCGGCCGTTTGGCTCAGGCTATAGGCTTCCTCGAAAGAGATGTAGCCACCAGGCAACGCTGTACGAGTAAGTCACAAAGGGGACCAGGTACCTGCACAGGAAGTACTTAAGAAAGGCGTCATGTGTCAATGAGTCAATGTTTTGCTGAACGTATGTTTCGTCTTCTAAAGACAGACTTTGCTCGCGAGCCGACCAATCTTCTATGCCATGACTGAACAAAAGGAACCTCGCGTTGACGGAACTACATACTTGTGCGTTTACAGTTTGAATACATGGTAAATAAGGTGATGGAACTCTTTAGATCTCGCTTTGCGATGTATCAAAAACCGCACGAAGAAATGTACTTAAAAACGTATGAACTTGACTAAAGTATCACCTCTATTTGTTCCATATATCTGAAAGCACGTGTCTGAATAAGTAAGAAGAGGCGAAAGCATTTCGCAAATATGAGCAAAAGCAGCCTGTAGGTGCTTGCGTGTACTTAGGCGAAGAGTAAGGTATTATCTGTTACACGGTGAAACAGGGTTTCTTCTCGGGAACTCGCATGGACAGCGCTCTGCTCCTCTCCACTTCTCTCATCTCCCTGTATTATGTACATGTAAGAAACTCGTCTAGGTAATGTGTCACATTGAACAAGAAGCTCGTACCTAACACATCCAACAATACAACTTGCTGACTAGAGGCTATTTTTGACAGAAGCCACGACAGCCTGCTGCTTTGGCTTGCGGAGCCTGCCGGTGTGCCTCATTGTATGTTACACCTGATTCGCTAATAGTCCGAGAAAATTGAGGGGTTGTCAGAAAGGGAGGGTGTGATGAACACTCGAATTCCGCATATGCACCAAAATACTTCGGCGAAGCCGATCAACGCAGTCGAGCATGTCTCACTTGGAGAAGAGAATAACAGCCAGCCTATTAAATGAATAAGAACCAGGTAGTGGGATGGGGTTTTCCGGTGCTGTAAAATCTGAAAAGCCGCCTGCCTTCCCTTTTCAAGCTCGCAATTTTGCGAACAAGTCATCTCCTGAGACACACACGGAACATGGTTGGATCGAACGGCGTCAGGAGAATCGTGGTTTGCGTTGACGGAACATGGTATAATGAGGATGGAAGAGAAGGTGAGCATGTCCAAATGACTTGAGCTCTCAGCAACTGACCCCTACTCTTCTCAAGGCAATGGCTATGGAAACAACAGCAATGTCTTCCGCATCTACGCCTCGATCAAGAGAGGGAAGACGACTGATGGGCGAGGCAACAAGATCACGCAGGTACATTCATTTGTTATGCTCGGGGATTTCTCAGGTGGGCTGCTAATGACAACGGCATCGTTAGATTGTAAGGTACTTTCAAGGTATCGGTGTCGACAAGAAGCCCCTGGATACATGGAATGACGGCATCACTGGTGTGGGCTGTGGGGAGCAGATCAGAGAAGTATATGATGTGAATAATTCTATGACTATGTCGTCTTATTGACCTAGGGTCATTCTGATTGCTTATAGTTTTGCTGCAAAGAGATGAAGTCCGAAGACGACGAAGTGTGGCTGTTTGGCTTTAGCCGCGGGGCTTGTACGCACCTGTCATCCTCAGACCCTTAGGGCATAACCTGATTCGATATGCTAGATGTCGTTCGAGCCGTTGCTGCCCTTCTTCATAAGTACACATTGAAAGCAGTCGACGGACTACCCGATGGCACGGATAAGTCCAAGTGGGACAACTTGAAGCGTCTTGCGGGACTGAAGCGGGACGAACGGCGTAAGATGGGCGGACAGGAACACCGATTCGGGTGAGTAGCTGGTCCCGGAACACACACTACGAAACTGGAAAAGCCATCTGATCATGTTTTGTGCAGTCTGGAACATACTCGACCGCCTCCGAAGATCAAGTTCATAGGTCTCTTTGATACAGTTCGGATGGTCATCGCTCAGGACAAGTTCTACGAAACCGTAGGAATCGATGTGAGCTTTGCCCAACATGTTCGACATGCAGTCGCTCTCAACGAGGAGAGAAAAATGTTCCCTCTGCTACCACTGATCACAAACGAGAGGGCCATGACTGGAAGAGAACAGGACTCACACTTACAAGCCTGGTTTGTTGGTGCGCACGCAGACATGGGCGGTGGAGCCGAGCACGATGGTCTGTCTCTCTACCCTCTTCAGTGGATTCTCATTGAGAGCCAAGGAAAGGGATTGATCCTGGAGCACAACCCCGAGGGTCGCCTCAAAGGTCTGATCGAAAACCCTCTGAAGCTAGCGTTTCCAGACCCGCCGACGCTTCTATCGGTTGAGGGCGTTGAGGCATACGTTCCCGACGTAGACCCCGTTAAGGACGAGCCTTGGACGTTCAAGTACTCGAATGGGATCGAAATCTCTATACATGACCTTCGTGAATCCCATCGTCATGGCAATCTACAGAGAATTCCAATGCGAAAACTTCGAAAGCCAAATAGCTCAGAACGGAGTTGGCAGCAGGTTGCAGGGAAAAAGCTTTTGCCCCCCCACTGGGTCAATATCAATTCAGGTCTCCTCTCTGGCTTGAGGCTGGGGAAACGAGACATCTTTGAAGCCGATGACTTCGGAACGCTTCGGGGATACAGTAGTTTTTGTGAGTACTTGGTTCTCAAATCTTCTTCCACAGCTGTCTATGAATGGCTCTGAAGATCTTTCAATGTAGCGCGCAACGGGACGGTCGTGCATCCATCGGTATACTTTCTTTTGGACACCTATCCGACTCTTGGAATTCAGCAAGCTCTGAAGGGTTTGCGGGATCATCTGGACGACTACAGAGAAAAAGCTAGCTTGTCGCACTTCCGGAATAATGCGCAAGTGACACTGGACCCATGGATCAGGGAAGTTCTCCCAGATTTCACAAGCTGTCGGATCTTAATTTGCGGCAATGCGGGCGTCGGCAAGTCAACGCTACTGAATCGTGTCTTTGGAATAGAAATGGTGAGCAGCGACATACCTCTTACGACCATGTCTTTAACTCATTAATTTCGTCATCCCTAGACCAATGTCAATCATGCTGAGAGAGGCAAGCACGACATTAAAGTGGGCTTTGAGTCGGATCAGCATCCTGGCATCATCATTCACGACTCTGAAGGCTTTCAGACAGGCGACACTAAGGAGGTTGATGAACTGAAGAAGTTCCTCAAGGCTAGGACTAATAATGTCAAGGTCGAAGACAACCTTCATGCCATATGGTAAGGCGTATTCCCCTAGGAATTGGGAATCTTCTACGGGTCTAAGTCTTAGCATTCTTTCTACAGGCTTTGCATCGACACAGACACCGATCGTCCAGTACAAGCAGCCTTAGCAAAAGTCTTGGAATTGGCTACGAAGTACATGCCCTTGACTCCGATCGTAATCGTGGGAACCAAGAAGGATAAGCATCTCTTGCTATGTCAGAATCGACCAGGGGAGGCATCGCAAACCGAAGAAGCCATCATTCTAAGCAGGAAGAAGCTATTCGAAAAGAGATTCGAGATTGAGCCAGATACCTCCACGTTCTGGCCTCCAATGGATGTGAAGTTCTGCTTCGTCTCCCGTGGTATGTTTAGTAAAACCACACCCCGAACGCATAAGCTCTTGGATCTGTTTGCTTCTGATAGTCTAACTTCTGTAGATGATCAAGTATCCATCAAGAACCTGATACACGTGACAATGAGATCTCTCGAACATACTGCTATATCTGAGGCAATGTGTGCTGCTCAGGTCTCGGACATTGAGGCAAAAGTAGCTTTGGCCGTCAGAAAGACGCTACGCATACTCAAGTCGGTCGTCGTAGCAGCGTCAGCGGGATTTGGGACAGGGGTCGTATCGGCAGTCACAACGCCAACTATTTCCCGCGTTCTCTGTCGCGAGATTGCGCAGGGTTGTTTCGGCCTACCGAAAAGGGTTATCGAAGACATGGATGAGATACTGGCAAAAGTAGTGTGGAGAAACCTAGCGCCTTTTATGGCTCAGGCCGTTGGGCAGTCTATCTTCGTCTGCGGTGGCGCCGTTTGCCTGACTTTGTTTACACTTGTTGGCGGCATACCCCTCGCAGCTGGGGCACTGCTGTTCGAAGCGCCGGCAGCCGCGCGGATGCTTCTTAAATGCGCATGCGATTTGATACTTGTCCTCGAAAGCGCGTATAGAAGTGGTGGAAAGACGATGAGTAGCAAAAGAGTCGAGCAGGCAGCCACGACTTATGCGAAAAGCAATTTCACGGTCATCAGAAACGGTGTCTCGGTCACCAAGTCTCGAAGGGGCGCAGTTCATCAAGCTGTCAACGATATAGTCCCCATGTTTTCAGCTCTGGCTATCAAAGCGTTTCTAAGTGAGTCGACGGAGAAGCTCGAGCGTGGTCTTCAAGATATTCTCGTGCGACACAGGCTGGACGAAGTCTCGAGTAAAGTTTCTGATTCAGACAGCGACGAAGCCCGAGGGAATATTATAGGTATTCCTGAGGACGAGGATGACATGAGGGAGTTCAAGCGCGGCCTTTAGTTGACGGAGAAACATTTGTAGCTGGATTTCTGGTATATTTGACAAGGACGGGATCTTCTTCTGGATCGTGTGGACTCACTGCCGCTGTCTTAGTTTGTAAATGCCCAGTTCAGGTTAAGGATTAATGGGTACACATTTGCGTCTAATCATAAGTACCAGGGCGGGTCTAACCCACTCTTCAGGAAACCAGAACGTTAGGTCTGTTACACGCCTGAGCTAAACATTCCCCCCAAACCCAAGAAACTCACTTGTAAGTAGGCCATTAGGCCTCTAGATTAGTGTCACCGTTTTGCGCCCAGAGCCTGATCGTGCGTGGGCATTGTGCAATCTTGCCGGAACATACGGCTGGGATTATGGTCAAGACTGCCGTTACGCAGAGCCCATCAACAGGGGACTTTGTATTCTTGCTGAAGGTGCTATCTAAGATAAAGCGGACCCTTGGTCCATGTTCCTCAGCTGAAGCTAGCACTGAAGTTTTGAGACGTGTTGTCGATCTATCCCTCATCAATGAAGGAGCCCACACTATCAGCCAGACTCGTCATTCGATGATGATGGTCATCGATCCAACTTATTTTGAGTTTGACAAACATTCAAGATATCTAATAGGCGTTATTGAACTGCCGTAGATAGATGTTTATCGTCATCTTCGCGGACCTTCTGTACTAGCTCAACGAATCGGCAGATCGGCACCGAAGCTTAGCCAAAGCTTGAACCGTACCCCAGACACCACCCATGTCCCAGAACCCCCTCCTTCCTGTTCGGGCAGGAGAGTCCCCTTCACTCCCACGTCTTATCAATCACACGAGCGACGGAATTATTGAGGATTCGGATATTCGGCTAACACCAGATGGGTGCTTGTAGTGGAACAACCAACATACCCATCTGGCGGAACAGTGATCGCGAACTCTTGTGGCCGAATGCGCCTCGAAGACAGATATAAAAGCACGGTGTCTAATCGGCAAATTGTAGACCGTCACTTCGGTTCTACAACCATTGCATGGAACTGGAGACACGCACGACTTCACCATCCTATCACCCACCCCTTACGCTCATTATGAAGTCCATGGCCGCTATCGCATCAGCGGCGAGCCTGATTTGCTCTGCTGCGGCCGCATCCCGTGCACCCCTTCCGTTCGACATCACCGAAGTCGACCTGTCGTCCCTGCAGAAACGCAACGTCGACAGCGAGCCCTTGGAAGTGTCCCCTCACGTTCTCGAACTAAACAGAGTCGTTGGTGCCTCCCCGGCCCAGACATGGATTCAGTCCATTCGGAATGGGCCTGGCTCGAACGGCATGTACAAGACAGGCCATGTCACAAACTTGACCGACTTGAACGGCTACGAGTATATCGCCAGCATCCTCTTCGGTGATGAGACTCTTCAAGTGATCGTCGACTCCGGATCAAGTGACACATGGGCTGTCCAGAAGGACTTTATCTGCCAAGACTCTAACGGCAACAGGTTGAACGACGTGAGTAACGAATACCATAGACAGGGGAGAAGTTTGCTTTAGGCGGAGCTGACCCGCAAACGTCACGAGCAGACCTCATTGTGCAACTTCGGGCCCACGTACAACGGTACGTTCCAGCACGGCTCCATTCCTGGTGTTCACTTCAACATCACCTACGGTGACGGTGAATTTGCCACAGGCCTCATGGGCTATCAGGACATCACCCTTGCCGGTCTCGAGGTGCCGCACCAAGAAGTTGCCTTGGTCAACAAGACTTACTGGAACGGCGACAACGTCGCTAGTGGCTTGCTCGGCCTCGCCTATGACTTACTCACCAGCGAGTACGACGATGCGACCGGCAAATCCGTCTACTATGACTCCATCTTCACGACTATGTCCAAGAAGGGCATCGTCAAGCCCGACCTCTTTAGCATGGCCATGGACAGCAAGTCTCAGGTCGGTCAATTGGCTTTCGGCGGATTGCCTCCTGTCGAGACCAAGGGCAAGTTTATCAGCACGCCTATCCGAATGGTGAGTGATTCAAAGCTTGGAAAGTGCCAGTGTGGAAACGTACGCTTCATGATGGGAAGCTAACATAAGGTCAGGTCGCCCTCTTATCTCACAGGCCCGAGGCGAAAACCGAGTACTCTTTCTACACCATCCTTCCTGACGGATATGTCATCAAGAACGTGACCATGGCCCCTACTACTAACCAGACCCTGGCTGCAAGCAAGTGGAATACCGCAGTCTCTAAGCCTGCCGGGTTTCACAACAGTACAACTCCCACGATTGTCGACAGTGGCACGACTTTGATGTATGTGCCTTCTGGTAAGTAGAATTGAAACCCTTCAACAGTGCTCAGCCAGTAGCATGGATCGCCAAGCTTACCTATTTGCCCAGATATCTCCGATGCATTCGCAGCTGGAATTCCCAACTCCTTCTACGACATCTTTTCTGGCGCATATTATGCTCCCTGTGATGCTACAGTACCAGACTTTGGTATTGTGATCAACGGGCACACTTTATACGCCGACAAAGCCGATTTGATCCAGCGTAGCGACCCGCTTGACAATGGTGACGGCACCTTTGTCTGTCTGCTTGGTGTCACCGACGGCGGGGAGGGCCCTTACATTTTGGGTGACACCATGATGAACAGCCTCGTGACTGTGTTCGACGTTGGCGCAGGTATGATGCGGTTTGCTAGTCGTAAATGAGCTGGCTTAAGCAGGTCGAGTTATACGACCTGACGAGCCGCGACTATTACGATTCGCGAGTAAATTCATTGTAGTTTTTATGTAGCAAATGCGTGTAGTATAGTTGTAATGAACAAGTACTGCCGTGAACGCTCGTATAAGCGCGACAATGTACGCCACTTTAGCTCTCCGAAGGAGCGGCGCTATGCAGTGCGTGTTGACTTGTATGTACTAGTAGGTGTTGCGGTCCTTGTTTCCGTGGTCGTTATACTTGTGGAAGCATGGCACCTCGATGCTGATTGTTGACGAAAGCAAGTTCAACATTGTGCCGCTTCAGAAATGTACTGGCTTAGGGTGAAGTAACTTGCAATATTCAGCGGAGTCTTCCATTCCATAGACAATGAAATTTTAGCCTCCAAGGTCAGGATTTGGTATAAAAAGAATTGTGGCGGCAATTAGAGTTGATTGTTGTGAAAGCCCGCAAACATTGCGAGAGTTTTATTTACAAGAACCGAATGCATAGGCTCTAAGTCTAAGCACACCCGGGGAACCCGCTTCCAGTTCCCGCACCCTGTCTGTCGCAGCAGTTCTGGTAGGTCTATGGCCTCGTTAGTAAAGACGTAACGCCACTTGGGAAAGCCATTGTTGTTGAAGACTGAAAATTGACGTACTGCGGTATCAGGACCATTGTAGTTGCAGCAAAGGAACCACTGCCCCCAGACAAGCTCGTGGGGGAATTTGCCGCTGTAGGCCACGCATGCAGGGGATTGGCGCTCAACGACTGACGGGGCAGCGCTCGTGCCCGCGATGAGGGGAAGCACAACGGCGACGATTGAGAACTTCATGTTTAAGATTTGGAACTTGAGAAGACTTGAAAGAGTGATTGAGGTTGGGTTGAGTGAGTTGATGGAATGGTTGATGATGAGAAAGGCTATCTAGAAGACTGGGAATATGGTCGTGTTATAAAAGAATCGGTACATAGCCTGAGTTGTCTTGGCCCAGGGGTTGGATCACTCCGGATGAACACTGTAAAGGTGAGAAGTTGGGCGGTAGTCCACTTGCCCGCACACCCCTCGAATCATTTCACGCGGTCACATTGGTTCGATTCAGTCGTTCTTTTAGGTTTGCCAACTTTCCTATTGTTGTCTATCAAAGGAGGAAATCCCACATAACTTTCTGGTTGCTTCTCACTTTAATTGCGTTGTCAGAAGCCAAGATAGTATCGATGTGGCTAAGCGAAGGGTTGATCCTTGCACAGCCTGACAGGTCACGAATGACAAACGATCAGCGTCTAGGTGACACTCTTGGCCTCGGCCATCCCACCCGCGCGTAGAGTAACGTGAGGTCGAAAATCTTATGACTCCTACTTAGTCTGGATCTCTTCATCTGATTGAAAGTTGTAGTAGATCACAGAGCCTCTGGTTCGAGGTTTGTAATCATACGGCGGAAAGATGTAGCCCTGCCACTACTACGTGCTGGAAGTCGCATCAGTGAGGGCCAGCTTTATGAGACACTCAGTCCAGTGTGATTGCATCATTCATGGAAATGATTGCAACTTCACACGTAGTTGTCTTGAATATCTTAAGTCAACGACCGCGAATATGGTAGTCGGAGCAATAATTCGCCCGTGTTAGCATCTGGGCGGAGCGGAACACCTTGAGTGCTTGATTTGGAAGGCGGAACGTCCCTCAGCGCCATGTGATAGAATTCGCGGGGAGCCAAGTACCGACAATGACAAGCGATGGGGCCCTGGGCGGGTATATCACCCCGATTTGGGTAGAATGTGAAACGAGCCATCACCGAAAAACAAGGATGACTTGCGATCCAGGCAATTTTGTAGATACAAGTGCATGTGCGTGCAATCAAGCTTTGCTATTAGGTATTGAGTAAGCTTTGCACTGACTTTGGAGGGTTCTCGGCCCCTTTTCGAACAGAAAGGAAGGTCTGGTCAGCAGGAATATTCAGTCTTCTGCGCGCCAATGCATTGTTAAGCTTGCTCCGCGCCCCTCGATACTAATATACTCCGTAGTGCGTACTTACAACACAATTAACACAAGTAATCCAGAAAAGAAAAGAAAGATAGTGGGACACATGTGCCTAGATAGCCTGTTCGCAGGGCCTCTTGTCTCCTCATGTTCAGCTCTATTGCCAATAGCCTCACTCAAATGCACTAGAGAGGACCTGCGACATCAAGAACTCAGTCGCCACGCACGGGGTTGAAGTTGATTTGTCTCTTCCCGCCGTTGGAACAGCATGAAGACAAGTAGGCAATAGCTGAGGAGTCGGCATTGGTGCAGCACTAGATGAGATGTCAGCTATCATTGTTCTGTTAAACCAAACTAAGTAGCGGAGGACGAACAAATGTTCCGGGGCCATCATGGTAAGTTGTACCATGGGGAGGTTGGCAGCAGCTCTGCGTGAGTGCGTCGTGACGAGCTCCAGGTGCGAAGATGTCCTGGCAGGCGCCGGCGTAGAAGCTTCCTTTACAGGTCGCGATAGATGCGAACGAGCCGGCAGCGCATGCGCTGTGGGTGACAAGGTAAGCGTGTATTCATATTGGCAGGGGTTAATTAATAGAGGCTTAGCTAAGTTACTTACGCGATGATGACGAAGATGTATTGTGAGAGCATTTTGAAGATGAGTCGATGGCAACGGTCAATCGGATGAGCGCTTGGCGAATTGTTTAATGGACGGAGTGTACTTTCGCATGAGTATTAAATACTACATCAGTCGGAGCTGCAACCTTGCGGCTCTTATATACTCTAGCTTCGCCTCACTTACCTCAGAGATAATTCGAGAAGAACGAGATTGTGACCCAATATGCAATCTACATCCCACCGGGTTGAGAAAATAAAAAGCTTAAAGAGATTACAGCATCCAACATTCACCGCCTCCACGAGACCCGAGTAGGTCGGAGAAATCGGGTCAATGCCACTTCATAGTCCGTGGATCTCAAAATCCGAGCAATTGTGCTGATTGAAATTGCAGAAAAGCGTTCCGAGGCCATAGATTAAGAGGTCAGTGGGACCTTGAAGAAAAGCTAGAATGGGTCTTTGCCTTTTAGCGTTGATGCACAATTCTCAACTCTCATGAGAGGCTGGCATGCCTTCTGCCATGCTGATACTATCATGTTTCTTCTAAGCCCTTGTACTGATCAAAATTATCGTTTTATCATCTAGGAACCATTCATCTTCCGTGGTCGGGCAGTTACTTCTAAAGTGGATTCAAACCCGATCATTACCGGCGCCTGCAGGCTGCAGTATGGCCGTCTCTGCTAGTATCGTCTTTGATCAGCACTATTGGAGTAAGACTAGAGGATATTTCAAACAAGAGGGAGTCTACTCACCTCCAGCGTACATGAAGTTAAATTTTGTGGCGTTCCGCAGAGTCGGGAGTGACGACAAGACTAAGGCAGCCAATAGTAGTCCGTTAAGATCTCACGGCACATGTACGAATCAGCAGAAAGAACGTGGTAATTTTCGGTGAGAAATCATCTTCTTATTCGAAGTGATTCGTCGGTTTCATAGAAAAGCAACATCACATTTCTGATACAACAATGTCTTCAACTACGAGTCTTGTTCGCTACTCCACGACGTGGTCTTCTTAAGTCTTCCCAACTTCACCTAAGTAGTGTAGTACCAGATCAGGAGACAATTTCAACTCCAGCGCCAACTACATCGGACTTTTTAGATTGGTATCTTACTTGGAGAAGTATGCTTTGCAATGTATGCATGCCGATGTTCCGTGGTCTCACATTCAACGGAATCGCGTTCGACTTGGGATACAAGATCCATCATCAAGATAGCATCTCGCTCTCCAGGTCAGCCGCGAGCGGGTGTCGTATTTGCGGCGAATTGCTTCTTCGAACACTGGACATGCATGACTCACTCGATATCTTCACGGGCCCATGGATGTATCGGACTGCCTTCAATCGAGCAGGCTCTGAGTCCTTTGCTCGGCTCACTTTCACTATTTTATATCAGACAGGCGGTATATTCTCGCGCCACTTCCGTGTTTATCCAAAATCATCCGTAAACGTCAATTCCAGCGTCGCTGTTAGGAACGGCATCATACCTGAACCGGAAGCCTTGAAGACGGTGCGGTATTGGATGAGTACGTGCTTGACAGGACATGCAGAATGTCGCGTCAAAGGCCAACCAAAGTCGTATCCCACCCGTTTGCTGGAGATAGATATATCAGGTTTGCGGCTCATCGATCCCGAGACGACACCGATTTCTGGGCCGTATGCTGCACTCAGCTATTGTTGGGGCTCGAATCCTTCATTCCTCCGTCTCACCGCTTGGAACCAAAATAGGCTGCGGGCAGGGATCGCCGACGATGAGCTTCCGATAGCTTTTTGTGAAGCTCTCAAAGCCGTACGATGCCTCGATATCTTGTACATCTGGATCGATTCGCTGTGTATCATTCAGAGTGGGCCCGGAAGTACTGAAGACTGGGCCCATGAGTCCTCACGGATGGCGGACGTATACTCAAACAGCATACTTTGCCTTGCGCTGTACCGAGCTGCAAATCCACATGAGAGTACATTCCGAGGGGGTGTGCCACCTTTTATGCCACCCACTGAAGTTGATACAAGATGTATTTTCGATAGAGATGAGTCCATTCATCATTCATGTGTCGTCTTCTCTTCCAGCTATTATGAAGACGCGCTCTATCGCCAACCACTGGGTTCCCGAGGGTGGGCGTTGCAAGAAAGGTTGCTGTCGCCGCGTGTTCTGGGGTTCGGTTGCGGAGAGTTGTTTTGGAGCTGTGCCGAATGCCAACACGCATGCGAGTCGTTCCCGGATGGTTTGAGTCTCGAAGATAACTTCTTTCAAGGTCTGCAACTGACGTCGATCCCATCAACGATAGAGGCAAAAGACAATTCGACCCTCACCACTGTCTGGTTCCGAGTTGTGGAGGAATATACCAACCGTGACCTCACGTTCCCAGAATCAGACAAGCTTGTGGCGTTGTCTGCAGTGGCCTTACGTTTGGGCCAGGCAATGGACGATATATGC